ATGACCTTGCGCTTGCCAGGCAGGCGCTTTGCCACTGAGCTAAATCCCCAGCCCCTGCATGATATGTTTAATGTGTGAATAACATGCTGACGAAACCCAGAGAGTTCTATGTGCATGGCCTGGTACCTGGAAATTGATGTGTGGTAGTTTCCAAGACAAACGGCAGGGGTTCAAGAAGTCCACAATAAGTAGGAAATAGTTGAGTGCTGAAATAAAAATTCAAAGAGGGTGTTAAGAGTCAGGTGGAAGTTTCCTAGAGAGAGATGTGGTCATGCGTGAGAAACGCTTGATTTGGGCTGCAGGAATACTAACGGGTCACATCCACAGGACAGTGAACCAGCCCAGGTCAGGAGGGGCAGGGACTGGGAAGTCAGAGGCTGTACCCAGCCCACAGGTACAAACACTTCTATACCTTCCAAACTGTGCAGTATAAGGCCTCAGAGAGCAGCTTGTATGTTGTATGGGAGATGGATGAGAAGAAAACTTCAAAGACTCAACATCGCAACAACCAGAATCCACTGTAAAGTCTGACTTTTGTGATTTTTAAGTGCACTGTGATGTCATTTCCCACCCTCACTCAGGAAAAACAGACCCTCGCTGTTTCATATGTCCTTTATAAAATTCAGTTTTTATTCTATGTATATGGCTGTAAATAAAGGTAATTTTTCTCTGTCATGAACTGACAGCATTAGTACATGAATGATCTATATTGCACAGGAATTCATGAATTTGGAGTTGTGTTCTTTGAGGCTGAGGAAAGGTGTTTTACAATGGGGGTGACCAGGGCCGGAGAGAGGCTGGAGCTGTGGAGATGTTGGGAAAGGGATACAGGAGTTCGGCTAGAGGAGCAAATTCAAGAGATCTACTGCATGACGGAGTTAACCTTAAGTACTGAGGTCTTCAGACTTCTGGAGAGAGCACACTTTAAATGTTCTTAGCATAGAAAACGAGGCCGGGGATACAGCTCAGTGGCACAGCACCTGCCTGGTAAGGGCAACACTCTGAGATCGATTCCCAGCTCAAAAAAAAGAGAGGTTCACACATAATCCCTATAACTCAGGAGACTGAGGCAAGAGGATCAAAAGTTTGAACACAGCCTATGAAAATTAGTAAGAGCCTGACTCCAAGTCAAATGTAAAAGGTGCCCAGGGTGTAACTCAGTATGGAGAACTTACATTCAGTTGGGTTTACCTCAAAAAAAAAAAAAAAAAAAAAAAAGAAAGGAAAGAAAAAGGAGAGATATGTATTCGAGGTTATGAATACGTTATCTAGCTCAATTTAGACTTTCCACAATATGTACATATTCCAAAATATCATTTGGTGCACAAAATATACACAATTTTTGTTTGTCAAAGATAAATATTTTAAAATATTGCTTTAGTTATGTCGAATTGTGTACCTTCAGATTCCATCCACGGACAGAGCCAACTCTAGCGTGCGATGCCTGAGCTAGCGGCTCCCAACAGAGACAGGTGCTGTTCTCCAAAGACCAGAGGGTGGGGCGGAGCAGTGGGGAGGCGCAGCCAGGCCAAAGGAGCCCTCAGACCCGGTCCGCAGGGACAGAAACGACACTGAGACACTGACGCAATTACTGGACCTTTTATCTCTTACTAAGTTATTAACTGGTAAACAGGTTGATGCTCTTAAAAATGCAACACGACACTGAAGAGAAGATGACCCCTCAGCGCGCAAGGGTCCGGTCCTAAAATGCGCGGTAGTTGATTAAAGAGTTAAGTGTTTTAAAAGCAAAGAGCAATGGCTAGATTTATGACTTCAGTTATGTAACAATTTATAAAAGACCTCATCTTTTAAAAAGAGGCAACATGTGGTAGTTTCTTTATGATATACAGAAGGTAAGAAGTGTTTATTGTACCCTGCTTATTTTATTGGAGTGTATTTTTTAATTATACGCATGAGCAGGCTTAAAAGAAAATACTTTTTATGATCACATTCAACAATGAAGTGAATCTTATGAACCCAAAATATGTAGACTACTCCTACAAATGAATTAGTCTCTGATTTTTACAATAGTAATTGCAATCTTCAATACGTATGGAATTATTTTCCCTTTGTGAATGGTTTCTGATTAAAATTTTATGGATATTATTGAGAAAATTAAATCCCAAATGATATTTTCTACTGAATTTTCCTTAGAGCCTTACAGTGTTTTTATAAAGACATGCACTCCTGCATTACACGGCTGAGTTTGAATCCAGCCAATTCACACTGGGCAAGATATATAACCTCACAGCGCTGCTCTGTCTCTCCATGAAGTGACTATACTGACACTGCCTACTTCATGCAGGTGACAAAACAAGAATCAATTACATGGTGCTCAGCACAGAATAAATGTTAAAAAGTTGACCTGAAAAGGAAAATAGTTCAACTCAGAGATATCTCTGTTCTCCTCCATGGCCATAACAGTCCCTGTCAAAGAAGAAAAAATTAAAAAGTGAATAAAAGATGCCATTTACTTGATGCAGGAAAATGAATTAATAACGATGTATTACCATAATATATATAACTTCCACTTAGAAGTCAGGCAGTGTCATGGTCTTTGAGCATGAGTACTTGAATCCAGCAAAACTTATAAACAGTTGCTGAGATCAGTGTGGCATCTTTATTTTTGCCACTGCTCCTAGAGATATATTTATAAACCATTCACCTATGATGGCATCTGACTTGTTGTTGGAATAGAAAACTGAATGGGAATATATCTTTTTTTCCATCTTGGAAAATATTCTAATCTTGTTTCTTAAAAGTGAAGATAACAATGATTCTGTCTTTGCTAAGATAGGACAAAGTCTCAGCTTATCTGTCAGTTTATTAAACAATGTCTGACACTCCAATAACACCATGTATTTGTCTGCGTAGACTTTGCATATCTAAAGTAACACCTGAAAAGTGTTTGATTTTACTGCTAGTACATAAGCTCTGTGAATACTGAAAAAAGGCTCACATAGTTTATTTATTTTTATCATCCTTCTATTTAACATGTTACAAGTTATATAGACAACTACAAATATAGATGTTGATTTCCTGTCTTATATATTCCATCAAACATAGCTTGATCTTGAAAATTCAATTATGTTTTTGTTCCAGATGGGTTTCCCAAGGTATAACTTAAGGACAAAAATGTGAAGATGATGTACAATTACAAAAGCTTTGAAAAGATATAAAGTAAGAAATAATTACCAAAATATAAATGAGGAAGTGAAAAGAAAAGGACACAAGGGAGAGAGAAAGAATAAAAAAAGAAAAGAGGGGGTTTGGGGATTTAGCTCAGCAGCTCAGCGCTTGCCTGGCAAGCACGAGGTCGTGAGTTTGATTCCCGGTACCAGAAAAAAAAAAAAAAAAAGAAAAGAGATTGGAAAATAGGGATGACAAGAAAAGATTTTATTTTTTATTTTAAAAAGAAAAAGAAGAAAAATAGAAATAAAACAGTTTCAAATCAGGCTAATGGGAGAGTAAAAATAATTAACATCTATCTCATTATCTTCATAGTGGTTGCTCAGAGTACAAGATATAGGCATGAAACAGTGTCCAGACATTATTAGCACAAATCTTTCTTTTCAATGAACTGAGAGAAACTAGCTGTGTAACTATCCTATCGTGTGTGTGTGTGTGTGTGTGTGTGTGCATGTGTGTATTTTTCCCCCTTTTCTCTTTCTTCCTTAGGGCATACTGAGAGAAAACCCATTTTGAGTCTAGTAAATGGGTGTGAGAGCACAAAACTCCTGAGAGGGGAGTTTTGGAGACCATGGCAATCTGTGAAAAGTAACAGGTGGAATAGAAATTTTAGAAAAGGAAAAGTAATAGCTAGGTTCCAGCGCGGTACAAGAGATAGAAAATATTTTTCTAGAAAAGCTGATTCTTGCAGGAGCAGTATTAGGCTCAGTCCACAGCGCACTTAGCACTGTGAAGTGTGATAGCTATTCAGAAGCAACTCTTTAGGACATGAGCAGGTACTGCATATACGATATACTGTACAAGTGCTATTTAGATGCATCCTCCATACTCAGAAACTAATATGTAGACTTGGAACACAGGTACAAAAAGGAAAGTTTTACAGATAGGCTGGTATCAAATATGACTCATGTGGTCAAATTCTTTTGCACATTTTTTATTGTTGTTGTCTAATTACTGCTAAAAACCCCTATACTTTCCTAATGATGCCTGTAAGGCCTAAAATTCATAATAAAATTGAGTCATTCAGTTTAGTAGAGGTTGTGATAGAGTTTAGGACCTACCAAAATGTATTTATTCAGTGAACATATGATTTACCATGATTCATTCTTTATAGTACGCATTTATATGAGTAAAGATCAATATATTTCTATGATGAAGGCAAGGTAATATGTCTGTCTCGTTTTTTTTTTTTTTTTCAGTCAGCTTTTAAGGCTCTTTCCAAGAACATACACGGCCTGGGCTACTAAGACCAGGCTGGCCTGAATTGTTCAGGGCAGTGGACTACTTCTGACTGACTGACTGACTGACTGACTGACTCTTGGATTATTTGAGATACAGTTCACTGGGAACACGGGAAAACAAAAGTGACAGCAAAAGACGTACAAACAAATGGTAATTGAGAAGGATCTGCAGAGAAAGAAACACAAATAAAAAGCATTAGAGATGCTACTGGTCAGATGGAGAACCATTTCTCACTAAATAATGTCAAATATGGGTGGGAGCAGTTTTTATCCTCGGTAAAGATAAACTGTCATGTTTTGCTCTACTCTTATTTGCTTTAGTGTGTTTCATTATCACACACTTTTGTTCTTTATTATGAGCAGGAAGAATAGAGTTTAAAATTACACTCTCATTTAACATCTGGAGACTTAGGACACTGTACCAGAAATACACCAGTAAAATATAAAACAGTGCAAACAGAACTGGGTGCCTCTTGTGTCAGTGCACCTGACATCATCAGTGTTTCCTATTTTGCAGCTGAATCTAGTGGACTGAAGGACTTCAAATCTTCAGATTCTTGTTCTTTGTAGATGGGATCAACAGATCTAAACCCTTCACAGAGAAATCAAACTGCCTTGGTGGAATTCATCTTACTTGGTTTCTCTGATGTTCCTAATCTGCGAGGATTTCTTTTTGGGCTGTTTCTGGTAATGTACGTGATTATTCTGGTAGGAAATAGCCTCATTCTGATCATAACCAAGATCGATCCTTCCCTGCAGACACCCATGTACTTTTTCCTTGGGAATTTTTCTTTTTTGGAAATATGCTATGTGTCAGTCACTGTCCCCAGACTATTAGCAGATCTCTACAGACAAAATAGAAGTATTTCTTTTATAGCCTGTGCTACTCAGATGTACGTCTTTCTGGTCCTAGGGGTCACTGAGTGCTTTATTCTAACAGCCATGGCTTATGACAGGTACGTCGCCATTTGCAAACCGCTACTCTACCCTGTCCTCATGAACGACAAGCTCTGCATCCAGCTGGCAGGCAGCTGTTGGGTAAGTGGAATTCCAGTTCATATTGGGTTCACCTACTCGATCTTCTCTCTCCCTTTCTGTGGACACAAGCAGCTGGACCACTTTTTCTGCGACATACCTCCAGTCCTCACGCTAGTCTGTGGAGACACTTTTTTGATTGAGATGCTAATTTATGTCATTGCGCTTCTGGTTGTCACGATTCCTTTCATGCTGATCCTTGGATCTTATGTGAAAATCATCTCCACCATCCTGAAGCTGCCCTCCACCACCGGGCGGGCCAAAGCCTTCTCCACCTGCTCCTCCCACCTTATGGTTGTAGCTCTGTTCTTTGGATCAGGCATAATCACATATTTGAGACCGAAATCCAGTCATTCAGCAGAAACAGACAAGTTGTTCTCTCTTTTCTATACCATCGTTACACCTATGTTTAATCCCATGATATATTGTTTGAGGAACAAAGATGTCATGGTGGCACTGAGAAAATTCCTTCTGCAGTGGGTTGTCTTCTGACACAAAACTCATGGCTTTGTAAGATTTGATTTTTTGTTTGTCCCAGTCTCCATAAATCGCTTTTGATTCTTTTGCAGTGTTCTTAGAGCTCCGAGTTCTTATGAATGAGTATTCTCACAGTTTTAATTTTGCATGAATTCAGCCTAGTTGTTCTCAAGGCTTTGATTTCCAAACACCAATACTTTCTTAAGCGCAAAAGTAGCTCCTATGAAAATCAAGCCAGAAAAACTGAAGCATTTCAAATAACACATGCAGGTGGCCATAGGTTACAGGTGTTATTATTTTCAATATTTCTGAAAAATCTCTACAGTTTGTTTCACAAGCAAGTTATTCATATTTATATCTCCATGTGCAATATATTGTGTAGAAAATCTGTCACCTACTTGAGTCTGCTAGATTGAACTGTTCATGCATCATAGGCCTCTGATCAATAATTGCTATATAATCAGGTAAGAGCATGTAAATAAAGAAGATCAAGATTAAATGAGCACTGTTGATGTTAAAAATGGTATTATAAGTGTTTCTATTAGTTATTCATCAATGTTATTCATTGATGTATAAAAACTGGATAATAGCCTGCCTGGAAAGCTCAAGTTCCTGAGTTAGATTCCTGGTAGCAAAAAAGAATAAAAACAAGAACAAAAAACTCTGGATAATAGAACTTTTATTATGTTACTTTCTGCACAGTGACATACTTCCATCAAAGAAGAAGACTGTTTTTTTAATTGATGCATAATATTTGGATAACTGTTGGGATTATTATTGCATATATACATATATATGAAATGTGTAATAGTCAAATCAAGGAGGTAAGCATTTTGGTATTTTCAGCCATTAATTATTTTATATGTTGGGTATCTTGTCCTCTCCAGCCACTGTAAAATAGAACTTGATGAATGTGATCAGTTTTTAAACACATGGCAGTGAAGAAACCAGATAAGTCTCTCTGTCCAATGTACTTCAGTCAACAGTGGGGCAGATCTGAGAAGTTAAAATCTTCTCGATTTTTAAGAGAATTAAGCACTGAGTACACAAGGGAGTGAATAGATATTTCAGGGAATGTCAAGGCCATGTCTGTCATAAAGTATGAGCTCTGAATAGTTAGATTACCAGGGCGTGCAATAGCCATATAGGTCTAATCTTCTGGAGCACAAAGGAAGCAATCAGCATAGTAAAGAGCTCTCTACCTCGTTTCACTGGATCTGGGTCACGGTTCCCTGAAAGGCGACCCTGTGTGTTTCATAGATGAGAAGAGACCGGAAGTACTGGGAACAGGAAGGCCAGGTGAAGTAGACCCAGCAGCACTTTTTCCCCTTTAAATGCGCACCTTCACGCTGACCCCTCTTGTGTTGGTGAGGTTCTCTCTCACTGTACAGTGGGCCCATGCTCAGCACGAGGCAGCACACAGAAAATCATTTCACAGGTCTCAGGAAGAACTGGAGACTTTTCTGATATTAATATTCAAATCACAACTATATCTGTCATAAACAACAACAAAAATGACGTAGAGTGTGTTATTTGTTATCTTTCTGTACGTATTTCTGTCTAATCCACCTGCTGCCACCGCCAATGATGCTCTCCGTTAGTGGCCTATGGTCCATTTTCTGTAAGTCTTTGCTCTTTACTTCTGACTCTGGATCTTCCCCCTGATTCCTTCTTTCCACTGCCTTTTCCCTGTTGAATAAAAAGTTAAAAGGTCCAAGGGAGAGTGAGATGGAGTTATGCAATCACAAGGACTCCCTGATTCTTAAAAAAATTACTTTAAGCAGCCCTACAGTGATATGTATATAGACCAACTGCATCCAAATATACCCAAAATACATTTCTTTTTCCTCAGAGGTTAACAGTGGTAGTACCTGTTCCACAGATTGAACATACAAACAGAAAAAAAATGCTTGAATTTATTAAATAAATTTTGGCAATTGTAGCTATTTTTCAATGACCTGCTCATGATATTTTGTTATAGCAATCCCATTAGACTAGCCTAAGTATAGAAATGCTTCCTTTCTGCTCCAGAACATCTAAGTTTTGAAGTATTTTGAGTGTTCTGAAAAAAAAAAGTGTATTTTAGTGGAAAGGCATTTGAGTTGAAGCAAAAACAAAACAAAACAAAACAAAAATTAACATGTCATTTTATGAGTGAGCTCTGCTTAAAGCTAGAAACCACAAAATTGTATCTCTCTCTCCTATGAGGCTCTTCTGTCATCACTACATATATGTCATATAACATTGCTTATTATCCATCTTCACTACCATGCAAGGAGAAATCACAGGGAAGGAACATTTTTCGTATCTGCTGTGTTTTTTATTCCCACAATCAAAGGAAGAGGGTTCCTGTTGATGTTATCCTCATTAGCATGTATTGTTGGCAGATTTTTAAAAATTTTGACCATTGCTACAATGTTCATTCAATCAAGAGTACAGGGTGGATGGCCTGGGTAAAGAGGTGTCTTGTAGAATCCTGAGAAGCTACTCCATGAGTTCAGTGTGCACCTCCAGAGAGCAGTTTGAATCATGGACTTACGCACAAGCAGCATTAACTCCTCACAGCAGATTAACTAAGTTTATGCATCTAGCTAATTCTGTCCTATGTCCCTGATGTCCAAGTCTTGCCCATTTTCCCAGTCGGTATGGAATAAGGGATGGCCAAAAATCTCCAAGTATAAAAAAATTCCGAGTACATCTACAGAGGGAGAATGGTATTTTCTTGGTCATATTCTAACAATTGCAAGGAAGGGTTCTGTTTGAGGCAAGTTTGCTATAACATCCTCCACCTGACCTACGTTGGTCAGGTGTATAAAGTCATAAGGTGGACAATGTTGATGTCATAGGTATTTGAATGTGAAGAAAGGTTTCAGGTGACTCTTAAAGAAGACAGAGAGAAAAAGCAATGCATCTATGTGCAATCTTCTGTGGTTCTAAGGTATAAAGAGTTTAAGAGAAAAGCCTTGGAAAGGAATCCCAGGTATAGAATCTGGTCTTAAGAATCAGATATGGGGAGGCTGTGACATTTTCCCAGCCTGCCACATAGAGGAGAAGGTGGTCTCCAGAGAAAGAGGCCCTCCTAAGCCAGAGAGGTGGAGTCTTCATATACTGCTTCCTTCCCTACTGTATCATCATAAAATAAGTCATGTGGGACATCCTGGCGGTATGACCAGTGGGAAACAGACACGAGTGCTACAGAAATGAGCAAAAGCAAAAGACAACTGAGTTTGTTCAGCGTTTATCAGTCTCCAGCATCACATAAGGCACAATATACCCACAAGACCAAGGGGAGCAGTGGTGGATTTAAGGAGAAAAATGAGATAATTCTGTTATGTTATAGAAAATTATGATATATGAAAGACTGCAGTGAGGATTGATGCACATGAACCTGTAATGAAAATAATGAATGATTTTTAGGAAGTATTTCAGTTTTAAAAGAATTATCACATATGTGTGCTCAGGAAGTACATATTTAGAAAATAGTGTCTGTATGATTTGGTGACATCTAGAGAAGGTTTTTAAAAAGAAATATAAAATGATAAACATTCCAGTTTTTCTAAGTGACTAATTTAATATGCAGTAAAAATGAGAATCAAACAGAAGAAAATGTTTGGGAATAATCTCTATGTAAATTCTGCAACCATGTTGACAATACACCCAATATTCAACCCTGATTTTATTTTATTTAATTTTTTTATTTTAAAAATAAAAGGAGGAAAACATTAACAGACAGACAACATTTTACAACATATTGAAAGAACAGTACAGACAATACGGAGTTACAAACAAAGTGGTAGGGAATTAACAATGGTTGTTGTATTACGTATTGATATCTTCA